AAGAAACAAAGAAATATCAACATGCAGCTAAAAAGGTACGCAGAGCTAAGGCCAAAGCAAGTCTTCTTTCAAGTTTAGAATTCCCTTCTTTTACAAGGAACCCAGATTTCACAGTAAGATTATTACTACTTTTATTCACAGGATGGCTACTGGTATGCGTGACTGCATGCATCACTTCTATTAGATCTGGCCTCTGGAAACAGCCTCCCTGGGAGTGGAGGACAAGACTCTTGTAGAAGCTCCCCGAGGTGCCTCTTAGGCACTGTGGTAACAACAATAATAATAATAGGAGCAAATGGAAAACTGCAGTGATAGACTCTCAGATGACTGTATATTTTTTGTCAGCAGTTTCATGCTGAAGGTATGATTTCAGGGACATGAAATCTCGATTCTAGCCATATGCTACCTGCCTAGATTTTTTTAACCTGGCCAGTTAACTACCAGACACTCTGGCTGAATATTAAAACTCTTTCTTAATAAAGCCCCAGTAGACTTCATTAGCGTAATACTAATGGTTTAACACAGCAAGAGCTCTAAGCAAGAGCTTCAGTTTTTTGCCCAGATTCTTATTCTACTTTATTTCTGGGGACACAGACCACAGTGACTGGCGGAGTCATCTATTCTTAAAGTAAGCATTTACAGATATAAACTTGGGTAAAGGGACAAGGATGGGAGAAAGTGGGGTAGTTGCTGGTAAAGCCAGATATTTCCCCAGTCTCTCAGAACAACTTGACCTCATACTTCTAGGCAGGAGAAATCAGCTCCTGAAAAATTTCCCTGTGTTCTATATTGTCAGCCATGGCCTTTGGATACCTTGTGTAATAATGCTATATTAATATAGTTTGGCTTCTTAGCCTATGTAGTCCCTATAGACGTGATAGACTTAAGATAGCTATACTATTGCAGATTCAATTAGAAGCTTAGAGCTCTGGCTTCTGTGGTTACATCAAGAACAGATTAGTAGAGACTTTTGTGAAAGTCTGGTGAGGAAGCTGGTCATAATTCTTTAAATTAAGATCTCATACCTATATTAGTTTACTTGCTTAACAGTTTGCTTAAAACTAAACATTGCAAAATTCATTTTATATCCCACTTGATTGTACGGTCTATGTCAGCATGGGCTGGTGCATGCAATGAATTGGGTAATGGGATTTCATAAGAACTTTCTTCTGTGGACTTCTAAAATCAGATCCAAGGAAATGAAAATTCCTTGTTATCTATTCCCTGGCCAGCAGGCAAGAGAGTTAAAGATCAAGTATCACCAGCCACCTGAATTTATGGTTACTAATATAACAATATAACTCCATGGGAGTTCTTACCATCCTCTTAGCTAGAGTCTGTGGATGATGTTTATGTCTTTGGATTACAGCTGAAAATCCAGAGTAAGAATTTATTTCGATGAGTTCATCCTTATATTCACCTATATTCACCTATTCACCTATGTCCATCACCATCCTTATATTCACCTATATTCACCTCTGTCCGCATGGGCTTATTTAGCCAATATTTTAATTATCCTGGATGTGATAGAAGGATTTTATATACTCTGTCAAAAGACAAAGGGTTATGATTTGCCTAGACAACCTGTGTGGTCCCAGATCAGCTTTCTCCTGGGTAAGGATTTCATATCTGACAACCTCTAGGGGTTCACGAGAGTTATGTGTGAGCACTCAGAACAGATCCAGAATTTTGACAGCCTTCAGCTAAGGGTCACATGAATTAAAGATAAATGCAAAGAATATCTTTTCATGAGAATAACTGGATGGTGGAACAGACCCAAGAAGGTGATGTTTTTAGAGCCAACATTGACACAAAGTTAAACAAAATGCTAGCAAAAGCAGTAATGCTTGAATTCCAGAGGAGTCTTTTCAAAGCCCTCATCTCATTGAGTTCATGGTGCTAGGGCGACATTCTGACTGTGACTTCTTTATTTTTTCACCTATATGTTTGGATTTCATGCTGATGTAACCAATTCTAATGATGGCCTGTTCAGCATGGAAAAAGAGATCTGCACTCAGAGCTCGTGGAGCTAACAACACACCTTGCCTTTTTACATTGCCTTTGAACTGCTAAAAGGAAATGAGGAATGGGGAAGAGAGGATTGTGTCATGCACTGTTAAAAGAGGCAACTGAACATAGCTGGGCCAGCTTGTTGTCCCTCGGCTGTTAGCAGGAGACCAACTCACTCGCACAGCTGAAAGCTTTGTTTGGAAGCGTCAGCCAAGAATACTGCTTATTTCAAGTAGTTACAGAGGGAATTTCTTGGCTGACTGTCAAGCGTCTATGGCAACCGGCTGAAGCTGCACCTGCATGGAATATCATCCCTTGTTTCAAAAGGCCTGCAATGAATTTCTTTTGGGCAAGAGCAGAGACAAGCTGCTACATAGTGTACCTGTTAATTTTTTCAGGACACCTCTGATAGTACTGCAATCCTTTCTGGAAACCGGAGAGTAAGCTGGCCCCTCAGGCAGCCTTGCACCACACAGACCCTTTAAAACCACGTTATAGCAGAGCCCAGTATACTAGCTGAGATAAATATGTGTTGACACAGGTAAGAGATGTGGAAGTACATACAGGTGGAGTGAGAAAGTCTTACTTGGGACTGGAAGAGAAGTGGTACTAACTGCAGCTGCATAACAGAGAGCCGTACTGATTTGGTCCTGATAAAACTCCTGCAGGAAGAGTTACCATGGCAACACGGTCCCAATCAGGCTAGCACGAACCAAAGGCTGAGATAACCCAATACCACTTTTAGCGCTCTAAAAGGGAGAAAATCGCTCATGATCACACTAAAGATGAAAACAATACAGTCCCAAACTGTGTAATGTGTTAGTAGGTCAATGGCTGAAAGTAAAGAACTCTAGCAGGAAGACTATTTTATAAGGAAAAAAAAATCTGTAAGGTTTTGATTGCAATGATAAAAATGTAACTTCTATAGCATACCAGAAACAAAATAACTACAAATCAATATGAATTTAGTGAGATATAAAATATCACAACCTAGAAATAAGAATGGTTGCATCTGTAGTCCTTTGAAATAGTAGTTCTAAAATCAAAACACGATTGTTAAAAGCCGTCATATGACGATTTTTAAAATCTGAGTGTAAGAATACTGTGACCAGAAATGCCTTTGCCAGTCAGGTGTTCAGAAACTAGGTCTTTTCTGCACTGCTTCTTCTGAGTCACTCTGCAGAATCATGTCCAAATATTTATCAATTGTAGCCTAATTATAATGTACCAAAATATGATGTAGCTCACTCCTATGTGTAATAAATGTTGAAAGCAATGGAACAGTATAACCCAGCAGTAACCATTACTACTCCACATATAGGACATGGGATGGGCCACAGAAAAGTGACATCGAACGAATTCAAACCTACCCAGTGCCTGCTGCCGCTATGGCAGTATACAGAGAACAGGGACCAGAGAGGGGCAGTAAGCCAGTGGGCTAAAACTATACTTTAATCCTTAGCTACTCTCGCTTCTCATGATTGCACCTTGTCAGATGAACTAGCGATGTACCTCACTCCTGTCTAACTCAAAGGTTACCAGATACCATACAATGACTACCAGGATGAAGGAGCTGGTTGTCAGTCTTGTTTTTTCTTCCCCAGTGGACAATTTTTTTGCAAAGACAAAACTGTGGTAAATTTTATTATTTTGAAAGTAATGTAAATAAATGTCACCAAGAGGCTGCTCAGCGCAATCTAGTGGGCAAGAACCATAAAAGCTGAGGCGGGGGTGGTGGGGCAGTAGGGGTTGGCACCACGTTGACACCTGAGCAGCCTATTTGTAATTCTGCGTCAGGCACAGCATGGAAGATCACTTCCATCTTGTCTAGGTGGCAGCATATGTTTTCTCATAAGAAATGTGAAGGTTATTCAGGCAAGGCACCTCTGTCAACAGATTCTTTGTGAAGAGCAGACTGAATATTTCATGGGGACATTCTCCTGACAGATTTGTTGTCACTTTTGGCTTCCTGCCCTAATGATGCTTCTTTGATCGAATGGCAATGTCATTGTTCTGAGTAGCCACACTCTGGATTAAAGCTTTCCTTCATCCAGCATTATACATGCTATGTACCTTTAAAACTGTTCTCATTTATTATCAGCTATTCTGCAACTCTGAAATTGGTATTGTGTTGCACATAGGATCACAGTTTAAGTATGGACTATGAAAGACAGGCATACCAAAAACAGTAATTTGTCAAAGAAATCATTTGGCCATGAAAGTATAAAATTATTGAAGGAGTTTTTTTTTTTTTCCCCCCACGTAAACATGAAAAACTTGTGAGTGTCAACTTAGCTGTCTTCATGATTATTGCTGTTTGACCACAGCCATTATCTACAGTCCCTGGTATTTAGGAGTGCTGAATACTGGTGACATGATTTAATATTTCACTGTAGTTTCCCTTCATCTGGATTACTCCCAAAAGCCTCTACGATGAATGTAAGCACAGAAAATGTTACCTGAACTCTTGCCAGGACAAACATTTACATACTGCCAAATGAATCAAAATCCGATATGGTGAATCTACTGTGTCCTGAAAACAAATTATTTTAATTCTCAGCAAAACACTACCTAGCAACAAGTTCAAAAGTTCAACAAAGCATTTTGAAGTTAACACTGCTAATAAATAATCCAGTAGACAAGCTTCTCCAAATGTTTTAAAATACTGTGTTTCAGGAAATGGTTATTGTTTAAGAGATAATAAGCACACATATATGAATATATTTGTATATATCAAGGGCGACAAGGTGAATGTTTGAACAGCTGTATGCTGATAGATGTGAAGTTATGGGAAGGTGAAGTTGGAATCCCTCAAGTCATATATAGCTGTGTAAGGGAAAATGCACAGAATGGTTTTGCTGCTCAGCAGGATTCTCAAGAGCTGCTACAGTAGTAGCCAACATGGGACCCTAATGTACCCAATACTACCAAGTGAAATGCCACTGAATAATGTAACAGTGCTGTCTAATGTAAGAAATGAAGTTAATTACCTTTCTCTATTTCACTTTGAAAGGACAATTTCCGTCTTCGTAGTTTGAAGTTATCTCCATCCGAATCATTAGTAGTTTGTGATCTTATTACGAGGTCAGACTTGATTAATGAAATATGAAACATAATGACAGATTAGTCCCATCTAAAAAGAGCAGGTTATCAATAGGTGATTGACTGTTAATCATGTTCAAGCTTTAGAGTAAGCCAATATTACACAGGTCAGTCTGCATCAACCTCCCTTCCCCCCAGCTAATGGTATTGCTCAGTGCTAACATTAAAATGAAAATGATCATGCAGATTGAGTAAATCTGGCAATGTCACCACCTGTTTGTGAAAGAAAAGTATCCAGATAGATAAGTTTACATACAGGCATGTTATCAGCTTCCAGAAATTTGCGCAGAGGTAGGCTAAGTAAGCTTAGAGAAGTTAAACGAAAAAAAATTAAATTACCTCTCACAGAGAATGTGTATTATTTCAGGCAGTAATATAGTAACTGATTGTAGTTAGATTTGATGTTTAATTACATGGTGATGGTTATAAAGGTTACATTTTACAATAATAACTATAAGGTTGATAAAGACCTGGCATTTTACCCCATTATTGTTATCTTTCTAGGCCCTCCCGTCCTCCCTCCCTGATTCGTTCGTTCAGATAGTAATTCCATAGCTAAACACAATAGTGTCTTTTTTTATCCATTGTATTAGAAGATGGATGTGCTTTTTGTTGCCTTAGTAAATACAAGATGCATTTAACTCTTCTTTCTACTTATTTTGACACTGAGAAATTCTTCAAAAAGCAAATAAAATGCCAGTTGTGCTCTTTGTGTACGCATCCATTGCACTGGCTTCAGCCTACTTCCCTTCCCCATGCTAGTGTGGTTTCCCATACCTATCAAGCAAGCAGATTTGCATGTGGGAGAAGGGCAGAGGAAAAGGAGTGGGAAATGTTTATGTCTTTCTCTCTTCCCCTCCTTGTAATTCTGGTGGGTAAGGTGCTTCAGTGGTGGCCCACTGGTAGAATAACTGAAGAAGGAAAAGGGCACTTCACATAAATAAAGGAGGACAGGAGCAAACGTTCAGGCAGACGCACCTGTTACTCAGATAAAAAGTCTGGGTCTGAGTGATGTTTCAAAGACCAGAATGTGCTCATCGCTTCTTTTAGGGGAAGATTTTGAGGATTACAATATCAGTAGAAGGCAAATGGAACTGCTAGTGAAAGCCGTGATTCTGCAAGCTCAGAGGCATGGGTGAGCCTGTCCTCCCTGTCTCTGTGAAGTCTAGTCTTATTTTCTTGCTGGTACAGCAGTAAGAAATAATAGTGGAAAAATTTCTAATGGACATGAGCAGGGAGGACAGTCTTTGTTTAGTCTGCATCACAATACAAAAGATAGATAGAATTTCAATTCAGTTTTCTCTGATCTTAAGAAAAAATAATGATGAAACATTGATGACAATGTAATTTCAGGGAATCCTGAATAACCCATTGATATGAATTTATCCTCAAAGATTTTCAATACGTAGACTTTCAGTTTTAACTTATATTTACCACTACAGTATAAATTCATCATATTGTATTTAATGTATAATTAATAATGATGACCTTTTCAACAAACACAAAAGATAAGTTTTAAAATAAAGAATAGAACTGGTCTTTTATGTTCAGAACAATGTTTTATGAAAAAAGGCTCAGCATAAAAAGGAATGAAATTTATGGTCAGAAGTTACTTTTATTTTAATTTTTTAAGCTAAAGAGCTACACATGATTAGCAAAGATATTTCTGTCATTTACTGCCCAAAGCTTAGAGTTCTTTGTCGCCTTGTTTCTCAGAAGGCCTTCGAGGACAAATTATATTAGCTGCTTCTCACTGAATCTCTGTTCATTTTGCCTTCAAAGTGTGGCATAAAACCACAAAATGGCAATATCTCAGAAATAATGAAATATAAACTACCCATTCTGTGGGTGGTGTAGTCCATGTTTGGTGGCCAATGCCACTGTACCCTGTAACTTTCTAGAGATAGAGCCCCATTAGCATTAGCTGGGCGACAGCCTTTCCTCCCTCCTGTGTCCAGCTCTTTCCCCTTCTGGCCAACCTCCCCCTGCTTTCAGACTGGCCCCGGCAGTCTGAGAGAGGAAGGCACTGATGATGCTACACGTTTTTCTTGGGGATACTTTCTGGGCAAAAAAGGACACTTGTGAGAGTCACTGTGGGAAGAAGAGACCAAGAAATCCCTGCAAACTGGAAGAGTGAGGGAATAAGGGGCTCACAGCAAGTGAAGCTTTGAAATGTCCCTTGTATGCTTTTAGTCCCCGGGCAGGTAGGGTGCAGTCCAAGACAAGAGAATTAACAATTCAGGTTTGAAAGGCAATTAATTATTCTGTGTTGTTAGACACAGAATGGGTCTGGATAATCTGATTGATGTTTATTTTATGATTTCACTAATACATTTAGTGTCAAAAGTTCCCCTTGCAGTGACCCAAGTTATAGTCACATTTGCTGAAAAAGCATATTTTCCATGGCTTAAACAAAGCATTCAAAATCCCCCTGGCTGAAACTTTAATGCTATTTAAATATAGAACCAAATCCTTTTAGGTTAGCATCATCTGAATCGTGTCATTGACTTCTGCTGAGTTTAACTGACTTCAATAGGAGCAATCAGGTGAGTTTATTTTTTAAAATAGGATTCAGCCTCGGGCTTTTTGCTTTTAATTTTTCTAACCTTCATTTTTCAAATGCTGTCTTCAAGTTTTTTTACTTGGTATAGATTCTGACCAGCATTAAGAAAAAAAAAAATCACTTTTTGTATGTACCTTTGCACTTTCATCTCTCAGATTAAAAGTCAGTTCTAGATTGGTGAGGAAGAGATCAGAAAATTCAGGATACATATCTAAAACTTCTAGTAGGTCTTCTCGTTGGATCTTATGCAAGTCACAGTATGTTAACGCTCTCACATCTGCATTCGACTTTCCTGGTTTTGCATAAAGATGTACCATCTCTCCAAAAATATCATTTTTCCCTGCCGAAAGAAAAATTAAATGGAGATTATTATTTAAAATATGAAAAAGCCATTAAATTGAATATTTCTTTATGATAGTGATGCAGAATACTTGATGCAGAATACTTGATGCAGTGATACAGTCTGATTGCCATAGTACATATGTTGGTGCAAATCAAAAGTAGTATTATTAAAATCAATGAAATTGCATAGACATCATCATGTAACTGGAATAAGTGAAAGGAAAATCTTGTCTGGTCACAGTTTTTCTTCAGTTCTGTCAAAACAACATACCTAGAGCAGTCCCCTCTGTACTGCCTTGTAAAGGTATTATTTTTTTGATTTCAGTCATACTCTTATGATAACAAAGACATAATTTCTGTGTTTCAGTAGAGTTTAGGACCTCAGTCTGTCCTGGAATTTTCTTTTGTTAAGAAAGTTGTTTTGAAGAAGCTCATCAAACATAGCTGCTCTTATTTTGAAACTCTTACAATTCTTTTATCAGTGTTGACACATTCGCAGCACCTGTTTGCTAGAATTCTTATTAGTATTTAATTGCTTGTTTTCCCAAAATCTGCGCCTAACCTTCATAAATGCAGAGCAGCCTCAGCCACAGATGAGTGCAAACTATCCTCTAAACCAAGGGCTGCACGATATACCTGCGAAGTGTGTGTGTTGGGGGGGCGTATTGGAAAAGAACAGTGGTCATAGCAACCAAGCAGCAATAGACCACTGAGGGAGGACACAGAGGTGTTAAACATTTGTGGGTTTTATTCTAGATTATTGCAAATAGTTCTGGTTTCTCCTTTTTTTAAAAAGGAAATTGAAAACTGGGTAAGCAAGCAGCCAAGAGGCACAAAAAATAACTCAAGAGCTGCAGGGATGACTTACAGTGAAGATCTTAAAGAGCACAGCCTGCTTAGCTTATCAAAAGGAAGATGAAGAGGTTAACTCGATTATACTGCATACATACTTAGAGAGAGGAAAAATTACTGGGTACTAAATGCCTCTACAATACAATGAGGAATACACAGCAAGAACCAATGGGAAGAAATTGAAGTAAGATAATTTCATGCTGGAAATAAAGCACCCATTTTTAACAATAAAAGTGATTAACTATGGAAATAAACTGCCAAGAAAAGTGATCATTTTTTCATCTCGTTATGTCTTCAGATCAAAACTCATTGCTTTTCTGAACATTTTACTTTCATTAAACATAGTTCATTAGACACAACAGATAGTTAAAGGCATGAAATGTAACAGGAGTCTGTTACGTAACAGAGGTTAGCCAAGATAATCTAATAGTCCTTCTGGCCTTAATGTTTATGAATGTAGGAGTCCCTATGCAAGGCATATAGCATCTTCTTTGTAACATGACTGTTCTGTCACAATTGCAATATTTGTATATTTATATATCACAAATATTTATATTTTTATATTAGAGTTGCTGAAAGAGGTGGTAAATTCTACTAGGTTCACAGCCATCATCTGTCCTAAGGATATGGCACAGAATAACTGCTGTTAGGACAGTACTAATCTGATCTTACTCATCAGCAGATGAGCTTAGGAAAACTGGGAGACAAAAAGGATATATTTCTCAGAACTCCTGACTTCTGTGATGAAGTTCAGTACCTGTTCAGGGTGGAAACTGTCCTTGCTGCTTCTCTGGGACTGAACTCTTTTCCCCCACAGAGAACAAAGCATCGAGAGTTTTTATGTCCATTTCCATGCAGGTTTTTCAGTAAGATGGAATAATTGAAAATGTTTAGCTAAGTATTGATAATCTTTGTTAGGATTCTGTGTACTTTTATTGCAGACTAATTTTTATTTGTATTGTTTTCCATTCTTTCTTAACAGTTTCTTCACAATGCCACAGATTCTTTGAGTGGAGCCAGCCATGAGGCACGCTCCTGCCTCATGTGTCATATAATAGCTAGGCCCACATTGCAGCTCCCTTCAGCTGCAATCATGCCTGACTGTCTCTCTCCCACCCTGGACCCCCACTCTGCAGGGAAGCAGGGCTCCAGCCTGTGGCCTGTGGTCTCAGGAGGTGTGGGGCTGGAAGAGAGGCAGTGGCATTGCACTGCAAATACCTGGGGTTCTGCTGCTCTAGGAAAGGAGCACGAGAGGAGCCCAAGGATCTTACATGCATAACACGCAACGCTGGACCGATCTGCATCTTCCGTCCAGGAAGAAGTTCAGGAATTCATGAACCTGTCAAATTTTGCTGATTGTCAGTGCTGCAGTCATTTACATGTGTTTGATGTAAGAGATGAAATCCTTGATAGACCACACTGTTCACAATCAGGGGAAGACACTCGTACAGGTAAGTAAAAACTTCATAGTGTTATACTTGCATTCTCCCTACTTTGCTTGCGCCTAAAGCTGGCCCAGCTGATGAGACACAACAGTATGAGATGACAAATTATCTTGATAACACTATCTTAACCTAGGGAAGGATAACAGCAGGCACACCTTTGCATTTCTGCTCACATATCTTCCATGCAAAGTACTAGCAGAATAATCAGTCTCAAGTGTATTAATAGCAACGTATTTCTACCAGTCCACATACTGCTTCAGCTACTTTTCCAGCTGTAAGTTCCCAGAGTGGATGATAAATAGAAGGGAGAACATATGAATAATGTTATAGGTGTTGTATGTTTCAGTATAGCACACTCCTTGCTCCTCTGTTCAATTACTCTTTGAATCCTTATCACCTGATACTAAATTGAAGTAACAAATCAGCAATCTTGTTTAGTAATGGTTTTAGTTATTTTTCTTTTGAAAGTGCTATAGCAATGGTTTTAGTTATTTTTCTTTTAAAATTTCTATAGCTAATAAAATCTTCATAGTTCTGTATTGAAGCCATTGGTGGCTGGGGAGGAGCTCCTGGCTAGATAGGTCATTGTTCGGAGCCACTCTTCATGGGATAGCTGTGAGGTTGGTAAGAAAACAAATAACCCCACCATGCAACACAAACAAGAACATGTTGATTAGAAATATAAGTTAAATAATGGTGTTATTAAACTTACGTACCAATCTATATCAGATTAATCTGCTATTCTCCTCCTTTTCTATATGCCCTGTGGGCAGAAGCAGACACTTCTGAAAGCCTCCAGGAGACACTCTGAATGCCTAAATTAAGTACATGTTTTCCTCCAGCTAACATATATGGAGTATATGTGTCTCAGCACCCTCATATGCTTTTCTAGCAGTTCAAGGCCATCTACAAATTTGGTTGAAGCAACATAATCAGAATTGGAGTAATCTGAAATCTGCTTGCCTCAACTTGCAGTTTGCTACTTACCTAGGGATAAGCCCGCCTCACTCCTGGCCTTTATGTATTAGATATCTTGGGCTCTTTGGTGCCCATGAATTCTTGCAATACTGTAGACTTTGCTCCTGAACAAATTATTCAGCAGCTTGATTTTGAATAACAGTGACTGAAAGATTCACAAATCTTCTACCCCAGGAACAACGATGGATGCTTCTTTTCACTACGCTACCTCTTTTAACATGTGTTGTCCTAATCTACTTACCAAGAATGGCTACAACAATGTCACTCTTAAGGATTTCAATGGAGCCTCTTGACACAAAGTAAAGAGCGGTGAGAACATCTCCACAGTGCACTAAAGTGTCTCCAGGAGGTGCGTGTGTTGTTTTAAACTTCATAGCCAAAGCTCGAAGGCAGCCTTTGCTGGCTCCTCGGAAAGCTTTGCAGTTCTGAAGCAAATTTTGGTTGAGATGCAGACAAATGTCAGCTTGTAAGCATTCTGGAAACCCCTTCAGGACCTGGAAAGACAAACAGAAGGATTTCATATAAATGCTATCAATGTTGCTATATATAATCTTTAATGTTTTCTTTCTGGCCAGAAAGAAGGAAGTGATGTGCAAATTGAGGTGGTCCTAAGGACTGTCAGAGTATTTGAGTTCAACAAGTGTGTAGTTTAATCTATATTGCAAAGTTCACACAATGTGAATATTAATGGAGTTCAAAATGTAGTGATGACAAAATTCACTATTAAAATTTCTTTCATTGTAAAAAATGGTATCAAGGTATATGAATGAATATACTGCAGTAAAATAACAAATAAGACAGTAGAGGGAGAGTCGTTATTGAATCTCACTTGTTTGGACTACTAGTTTGTATCAATTATAAGAAGTATTACATTTAATATAAGATGGCTTTTTTTCCTGAAATAACTATGACATTTGCAAAATGAGAGCTATCTGAAATATTTTGCAGTTAGGGGCCATTTTAATGTTAAATATCATCTGTTTGTAAGAGTATGACTTAGATTTTTATCAGAAAAAACAACATGTGCCACTGAAACAATAGTGTTATGCAGATTTAGGTGGGTAGATGATAAGTTCAAGGAACCATAGGGCTAGTTCCTCTGGTCCTTGCTCATCCATTACTCAGAATAATGGGAATCTGCCTGAAGTAGAACCACAGGATTCCTCACGGGTACCATGGCAACATGTTAATTTTGTTTAGAAGACAAAAAAGTAAGCTACTTACAACTTGTGGTCATTAGGTGTGAGCTTTTGTAAATTGTTTAGCATTGTCTTACCTCTGCTTCTTTTAGAGTCAATACAAAGTTTTCCCGAGACTTCAAGGGGAGTATTGCCCACCTCACCACTCTATGCATTGTGTTCAGGAATGGGGCTGATGTTAATATGCACCTTCAGTTAAACCCTGGTGCTTCCTATCATGAAGTTAATGGGTTATATGCTTCCTGTGGAGGTATAAGGGGACAGGCTACATGTGCTGCATATTTCTAAGGATCCAGCATGAACTGATAGCACTCATTGTACAAAAGGATGTGTCTTTTTGTTATTAGAGCAGTCTATTGATTCATTCCTGTTTAAACTACCTACTATTTTTCTACAAAAATGTAAGCCTGTACGGAATAAACAAATAAACAAACAAATAAATAAATAAAATACATTCACTTGTTGCTGGATTCATTCTTACTTCAGCACAATAAAGGTCTGTGCACTCACTCTTATTGCATAAAGATATTCACAACTGATATCCCTCGCTAATGAAGAGGATGAACACATTTCTGATATGAGGCTTTTGTGCACACAAGCCAAGCTGTGATTTACAAATGAAATATTAGTACCTTTAACTGAGTTTGAAATGTTTCTGATTGCTAACAGAAATCAATACTGTGAAATAACAAACAGAGTGTTATAACACACATTTACACAAAAATTTCACGATTTAAAGGGCACTATCACATGGAATTTATACATCCTCAAAAAAGCCAGCATTCAACAACAAGCAAAAGAAAACATGAAAAATGAAAAGCTTCTACGGTGCCCCTCTGTTTGCAATGTCTATCACATTACCAGAAATGGCTTACTACGCAATTACTCTATTTATTTTAATAGAATTATGTTGAAATAAAAATATTGTGGGTTGTAGCAACTTATTTGCTGAATGATACTGAGAAATTGATATCTAAGTATGCCTGGTACATTGGAGAAAAGTTGTAGATTATTTTGAAATTGTTCTCTAGTCATGTGAGTAAAAAAGATCTATTTTGAATTATGTAATTCTTTTGCTATACCCCATTTGAATATTATTTAGAGGAGCTCAATTTTTATAGGATGCAAAATAAGAAATATGTTTTAAATTCAGAGGTACTTACAGGAAAATATATTTGAATTGTTAGAATCTCAGGAGCACAGCCTTAGGATGAAATGCATTCATTTTTTCACACCAGCTTCTATTTATCTCATTTATCAAGGGATTGTACTTTACCATTAAGCAAAAACCATGCAGACCATGTTTGTTGGTTTATATTTCTGAAGATACTTTAGGGGTTTATTTAAAGAAACAATTATTTTGATAATTAATTTATACTTAATATGAAACTGTTCTAAAATTGTTGCATATTAGTTAATAGTTATTTAGATGTCAATAGCATCAGAAATATAGTAGCTTCTGCTCAAGCATCTATGATGAAAAAGTCCCTGCCCCATGGAGCTTACATTCTAAAATAGTTATTATACATCATAGAGGAAGAATATTTACTCTTTAACATTGCAATTGTCAAATGTCTAGAAGGAAGACAGGTGCCCAGACACCATTGATTTCCAACAGGGATTTGGAAAGTACTCCACTAACACAGGTTTAGAAGCTGATTTGAAGACAAATTTGTTAAAACATTGCTATATATTGAATTACTAAAAGGAGCTTACCATGTCACCCACATTGTACATGGTGAGGCATTTAATCCAGGTCCAGTAGTTGGTACATATACAGAATCAGATGTTTCTAAATTAAGTTTTGTATTATGCTGTATGGACAACATCTTGCTATCCCAAACCTCCATGTGCATTTCCAATATTCACATTTTCATTAATCTTTGTGAAAATGTTTCATATGCATAAATTTTTAGCTTATGTTAATATGGAAGTATCTGATTCACACAGATATCTTTGCGTAGAGCAGGAACAATCTTATTGAAAATCGTGCTATTATAGTGTGAGAATCAATATCAATACCAATACAGACACACACTCTGACAACTCCAAATGTTAGAAAATCATCTGTATGTTCCTCAAAATCATGGGATTAGCTGAAAAATAGTGCAAGTAAAATATTGCATTTCAGTTCTTGTCATTTGTTGTGAGCTTTCTGGGTCTTTCAATGCATATAACTCACACTCCAGTGTGATTAGAAAAATTTTAAATACTCTTTTCTAAAAGATAAAGGCCAAAATAATCTTGAACTTGTGTGACTCCAGAATTAGGTGATACAAAAATAAGAATTAAAATTTTGAAATTTTGAAACCAATAAAGCTAGAAATTGCTGTCTAAAAAGCATTTTTCTCAATAATAAATCTGAAAATATGAAAATATTTGAATAAAGATTTATATATAAAAATTTATCTCTCTCTCTCTCTCTATATATATAAAATATATATTTGAGTTTTCACTGATCCATTCTTTCCTTCTATTGTTTCTACTGTTACACTCAATATCTCCTCAACAGTGTCTCCACCATGCCCTGGTGAGAAAAATCCTAGATTTTCATGGTTAGACAAAAGAATCAGAACTCATGCATACTTCACCAGACTCAGGTCTTCTAAAAAAAGTAATAAAGTAGCAAAAAGCACTCAAGTTCCCCCCTTTCCCCAAATAAAAACAATTATGATTTTGTGACCACAGGCTTCAGTTGTCTCTCTTTGGTAGTTATGGAGTCCAGCCTTCTCTCCCTGTCTGGAATGAAACTTTCTCCATGTCAAATAATGTTGGTTTATCTATTTGGCATGCTTAGGGAGGAGGAAAGTGTCATTTAGATAGAAGTAAAACATTTCACGTGCAATAAGCAATTGAAGTTTAGTGAGGATAGTAGGGTGATGATTCATATTGTCTTGAAGAGACAATTGTCTTCTATAAGTGGAGAGGGAGTCCAGCTGCATGAACTGCTCTTTTTCAAGACGACCGCTCGCTGTCGCTGATACATGCATCAGATGCATTTGTGACAACAGAACTGGAGCCATCTATGTGCTATGACCTCAGACAACTCTCAGATGTTTGGGTCAGTGACAAGATTGTTATATTTGGGTCAATGATAAGATTCATGATGGATGTTCTCTCTTCAGTTTTGGAACAGGTTCTGACATTTGTCCCACATAAAATATTCGAAAAGCATCCAAACAGAAGCAAATCAGGATATCAGCTGTTTATCATTAAACATGGGTGTATTGTCACATCCTTATATTTTCTTTTATTGTTTTATTTGTGAGTCAGTATTCATAATAGGAAATGCCAAAGTACAGCGGTAAAGTCAAATATGGTTGGACAGTGACTAATATAAATTTCAGTATAATCACAGTGAATGCTTTTCCTAAGCTTCAGATCATGTCCTAACAGATGCACTTCAGGTAATGCATTATACTAACAGCTACTTCTTGACTATTTGGTTTAAAATCAGTTGAATACATCTCTAGTTTTCTTTGTTCATGATAAAGGCATGCAGGAGGCATATTTGTCCTGAGTTGTCTTTATTTGTGTCAAATGCGAGGGGTGTTTCTCTTATATCACTGACTGCTATAAACTGTCTTTTATTTTGATTTTCCCCTATACGTTTTCTTTCCAGCTGAAGTTATTTCAAGAAGAAAATTTTCTTTATGCACTTGCTGTGGTAAGTTCATTGCTTACAGCTGTGTTTTATCCTCCATAAAACCTTAGTTTCTTTCCATTGAGTAAAATCATAATTCCTCTCTGTCGTATGCAAGTTGCTCTCATGTGTTGTTTTTTTGCTTCTTGTTTTTTTCTCTTTTGACTCCCAAGGCAATAACTGTTCAAATACGACTGTCCCAACCAGCAGTCAAAGATATTCCTTGAACTCTGCATAAAATATTCCTCTGTCTTCCATTTTTGAAATATAGGTGGGATCAAAGATAAAATGCCAGGCAGCAACTGGAGAAGGCAGAAGGGAGCAAAGTGTTGCGGGCCTGTCTGACGCCTATTTGTTCAAACTTGTTTTGGATAAGCCTTTCTAGCCCTGGGATCAGAGTCAGACTTATTTTTGACTGTGCAAGTGTCCAACATACAGAGGGAAAGATAAAGGAGACTCTCAAACTCAGCTGACAATTTAAGCTTTCAAAGTGAAAGAGGAAGTCTGGTCCTTGCTCACATTATGTGTTTATTCCTGCCCCATATTATCTCTCTCTGTGAAATAGTTAAGGAAACCGATCCACCTGAAAGCTAACCCAGTGAAAAAAACTGAAAAGCTGAAGGTACTCTTTCAGCCCAAGAGGTTGAAATTT